AAAGTTTATTTCTCAGCAACAGACAATTACATTACTTTACATCACACAAAAGAAACAAAGAAGAACAAGAAGCAGAAATATACCTGTGTGCAGCAGCTGAGAAAAGGGTTTACGCTCGGTGTACGAAAAAATAATCTAATGCGGATGAAACACCGATTTTCAGTCATCACCCTGAATGAGATGAGCGGGGACAAAATATTTTTTAATATAATCGAAGGAATAGTATCAGGAAGATATAATGTCAAAAATAAATATAAATAGAGATAAAAATGGTACAATAAAAAAAGGCATGTCAAGTATAATTCATAATAAATGATAGTATAGTGTTAGAAGTCAGATATATGTATATTGATAAGAATAATGTCAAGATAGAAATATTAAGTGTCAAAAAGTTAGCACGGGAGAATTAATTACAAACATCCGTGAAGCATAAGCGACTTTTGTAGATCCAGTAAATGGGTTCTAAGTCAAAGTTTAAAAGTGTGAATTGAAGTAGAACTCCTCAAAGGGGGCGGCAAATCATTCCATACTACCCATTACTTATGTAAATTCTCCTTTATAAAATATTTTATAACACTAAGAAATATTATTTTGCTGACCTTATCATAGTATATTTCGAAAGATAAAGAGGTACCGCACCATGTGTTATATATTCTCTGAAAATGTGTCTACATATTTGTGCTACGGTTCATTAATCCACTCCAGCTACGATGCTACGTCGTAGATGTCTACGAGATTACATCGTTTCTTTACATGGGTGATTATACGCGACGCGACGCTAGGTTGTTTGTTAACAAAGAAATGTACAGCCTCAAGAAAAACCTGATAACTAGTAATTAATACAGACCTATTTCAATGATTATTTTCATTATATCTTGAAGAAATATACTATCAAAGGTAGAAATAAGATTTATATACTTTCATTATTAGCCTTTTAAGCCTAATATTAAAATTAATTTGGGCACCCCTCTAGTCCAGTTTCGTTACGGACAACTTTGTTGGATGCACTCACTGCCTGCATTGGGCATGTGACGTAATTCCGATTCAAATATTTATATTCTTAGCCACACACAGGACACAATACAATAAATAGTACAATACATAACACCAGAGTTACATAACAATTTCGATTAAAACATAAAACCAATTATGTCTATTCAGACAATGTAATTTATTTGTATGTGAGTCACGACATTATGTATTGTATATCCAAAGTTATTTGTGTAAGCAGGGCTAGATCTTTTTGGTCAGCCGTCCTATGACTGGCCAGTGACAAATGTGCTTAACTTACACAATCCCAAAGTCTATATAAATAATATAACTCTACTTTAAGTTAATGTTCATATTTAGGACACCGTTTTTCTTTTACGCCACAATAATAAACTCCGGAGAAATAAACTTTAACCCCCACACGGCTGGATTATATTTCTTTTGAAAGAACTTATAAATAAAATTTTTACGACACATTCCAGTATTTATAACCATTTGCAGAGAGCAAGTTGTTTCATTCGATATATATTTACAATATTATGTGAAGAGGAATTTTATTATCAGGCGATTCAACTCTAGTATTGGGAGTTTACAAATATTATCTACTAGCTATTTTAATATGACTTCCTCCGTAAAAGTATATGGTTTCAAATAGATAATATTTTAGATTTCTTAGTGCAATTCTTAGCGGATTTTGACTCACTCTTCCGTTTAAATTTAATAAAATGTTAAGAAAGCTCATAATAAAGTATCTAATTATATAGCAGATATATTATAGATATATTACTTGGTAATGACATTGTATTTGCTAATATTATTTCTCATGTTAAAGCCGAGTTTCTTTAGTTCATTCTTCTTAACAAGTTATAGGTAAACAATGTTGAACGATTAAAAAGTAATTTTACTAAGGTTAATTAGATAAAAAATATTTTGAATTCTAACTTACTCTGTGCTAAAGAAGTTCAAAAAATAAACATAGCCCTTGATGAGAAAAAACGTCAAATTTATTACATTTTTTTTCTGGAAGTTTGTTTTAAGAAACGATTTTAAATTAAGTTGAGACATCACAAGTTCGGTACAATCAAAATGTTTGAACAGCTAGAACGCTGATTGTCAAAGGTATTAGAGACAATTTGGACGACAATTCGTTCTGATTGGACAGTATCAGTCACAAATATAAACTCGACCTTATAAACATCTCGATTTTAATATCAACGTTGAAATAGCAAAATGTAAAATCAACATTGGAAATATCAAAATTACAATGAATAGAGAACTGGAATTGTTAAAATAAGATCTCGTTTCAAAAACAACAATTATTAATTTTCTACGTAAATATAGATCATTTTGTCTTCATTAAAATTAATTCTCGTTTTATTATTGTGACTGGGTATTTTAATCTTAAATTGAAGGTTTTTTTCATTAATATATAAAGAGGATTTTTTTTTTTGTATTTAATAGTCTCTAACATGTTAGGTTGGTGACTTGAACAAACTCCAATTAATAATTTTAAAAATTTTTAATTTATTATTATCTGCGCCACAGAATTCTTACTGTAATATTTATATGGTAACGGAATTTTTACTTTATTTATGGTTTAATTATTTCAAAAATATATCTAAGATTTTTATAATATGTAAAAATTATGAGAGTTCAAAGTACCACAATAAACCGAACTAGATTTATGGGTGTAAAGAATATAATTGTATATAAGTTTTTATTTTATATTTCAATAAATAAAACATAAATCATGATTTCTCACATAGTATAATAAATCATAAGTTTAGTACAAAAAAATTCAAGCAAAAACATTATGAGCTTAGCTACAGACAGTTTAAGGCTTAAAATAAGGGATAACTTTTTAAGTAGATAACTTTTTTCATATTTTTATTTTGAGGATGTTCATCAAATATATCTAAAAAAATATAAAATTATTCTACAAAAAATTACAACTAGGTCAATAAAAGAATTGAAAAGAATTTCTCTGAAGCTTTTTCTCTTAAAGAGCTTAAGCTACTTAGTATAAAATCGGAAGTCGGCGGATTATTGAATATATATTGACGGTGAAAATACCAAGGGCTTATTTAAAGTCGCAGACGGTAACGAGTGGGTGACAAGCTGCACGCAGACTTGCGACATAACTTAGTTTTGCAGATGTTCACTCACCGAATAGAGTAGGCGAAGGTTATATGTGAAGCCACTCGTAAACGTGACGCTCTAGAAGACTTTGTTTCATTTATGAATCTTTTTATATCAGCCATTAGTTTGCTTAAGATTGTGACGGCTTATTAGAAGAATCTCTCCCTAAAAATCTCCCCAAAAAATAATGCTTATCTCTTAATACTGAGGTTATATATCCATCAGCAACCTGATATAACATATATAATGCATGAAAACATTTATTTAATATTTCGCACACCTACTTAGAACGGGTCTCACAAGTCATTGTTATCGATATATATGTCAAGAAACTTAGTATTATTTATTTCCTCTATTTGTCTCCCTGATTGTTATATTGTAATACTAACCATATTTTTTAATTCCCTTTGCTAAAAATTCATGCATATATTTCATGTAAATTTATTATCAATTGATTACCTTCTACCTATTCAAGTATTTTATTTAGCTCGTAATTTATAGCATTATCATAATCAATTATTTTCAAATATAACAGTACTTTCATATACAAACAACACCATCTGATGCTATATGCATTTTGGAAGGTCGTTTATGTTATTGAAAAAGTAACGATCCTAATACGCTACTTTGAGGAACGCCACACTTATTGCCTATTTCTCAGCCGAGAAGAATATATATATATATACTATATATATTTAATTGGGTTTTATAACATACTTTATAAATTTTAGTCATAACACTCTTATTATTGAGGTATAATTTTATAAGCTCGAGTACATTTCCACGTATATAAGTTATATATGATGTTCAACAAAATCGAAAGCTTTCGTCATATCCATATATAAGGCTTATTACTTGTGTTCCTGAATCCATGTAGATAACGATTTTCTAACAAATTCAAATGACGCCATATTAATATTGTTATTTTTCCGAAACCCTTGTTATTTTCCAAACAAATTTTTAGTTTTAAAGTAGCCATAGGTCGTTTTATATATCACATTTTCTAGTATTTTTGAAAAAATCGATATCAATGCAATTGGTCAATAGGTGGTAGTTTCCCTTATCACCCATTATCTCTGCTATAGTCGTCGTGTAACGTACCAGAATGGATATTTATATGATTTTTTGACAAAACATTTAAGTATCTGTGCACTATGATCTGATAAAGATAATTCAATTAATTACTCTTTAGCACATTTGACATTATGAAAAAAAATATCCAAGCACTTCCCACTAGCAGAGCGTATTGGTTCTTTAATGCTTTGCGTGTATAATCTGTTTTCATTGTACTAATTTTATTTCCTTAATTAAATTCCATTTTGTTTATATCATCGCCAGCCTATTAATGTCTCCACTTTTGGGGCATAAGCCTTCCTTATGGTAGGACTCGAATCGAAATCAAATTTAAGAGGGAGAATGGGTTATGACACACAACACAAGCACATTGTGAATGAGTGGGTGTAAACGACTACAGATGTAGCTGGGACAAACGGCTCAACGTAATAAGTTTTTAGTTACTCATCCTATATCCGATCCCATGTGAAAGTCAAGCGGCTTCCACATCACCAACCGAACGGGCTAACCACTGCACCACGGAGCCATCATTTTATTTGTTAAATCCCGTCAATTATTTGAATTCCATTATCAGTTATCTTTTACAGTGAAGTATATTATATATTGCGTATCCATATTTTAGAGTACGGATTTTGATGAATTAAATTAAAAAATATCCATCCGCCTTCGTTACAGTCGCGAGTGCTCGCCAAGCGTTAGGTAAATAAGTAAAGCTAACGACGCGAGAAGAGGCGATCGTGTGTGCGCGGGCTTACTGGTTCTATGATAAATGCCGGTGGATTTAGCTTGCCGATAAAATGGAGGATTCCGAAGCGTTGTATCCCCCTTTTTCTAATGGTATTTGACGTAAGATTTGTTGTCTCGTAACGCTCACGATGTTTTATTAATACTGAATTATTCACACGGAGTCAACGCTGTTCGTTGTAAAATATATACGTACCTTTATATAAACTCTAATTTCTCCCTTTTTCTTTATAACATTGCATTAGAATGAAGTTACTATTGAGTAGAATATAGTTAATGCTGTAATTTTTGTTCAAAATAAGATTTTATGAAGCATAAAGCGGTGTCACTATGTCTTGTCATATATAAAGAAATGAAAATAACCTTACTTAAACAAATAGTTATATCCTGGTTCGTTGTTAACAACTAATCTTTGCAGCAACTTTCTTTAATTTGCCACGAATAATATGTATGTACCTAATATATTCTATATGTATGTACGTCTAAATACAGGATCAGTGAATTTCTTATCCTTTTGCACATAATTTTAAGACTTAATAAAACTTGGCATACATTAGAATGTCTTTATTATATTAACAAAACCATTTTCGCAACAATAACGCATAATTTCTCTAACGATAATAAAAGTTAATAACTTATATATCGGCCTCGCCGTTTTTTTTTTTGTTTTGGTCACAGATTCTAACATTTTGTAATGTCTGTTCTTTCATGTTAAATTATGTGAATTAAAGTTAAACAAAAAAATAACCTAAAAGTCAACTATGTTAAAATACAATTATGTCAAATTCAATTATGCTATATAAGAAGGGAACATAAATCTCTTTATAACTGCGAATCTAATACAAATACTAAAACAAATCGAGTGAGTGAAGAGAATCCCTCAAATCAGCTAAACAGCCTCTAACTTAACATCGAGTTATCACGGCACAGAGCTTCAATAAAATAAAATCTTTATTTCAGATTCAAGTCAATTTTATCTTAAATGATGTAACCTCTATGAGTTTTAGGCAATTTTTATAAAAAATTGCAGTGAGTCAAATACAATTATCGCGTTGTCGCATCCTATTACACGTTAAATTCATTTTATGTCATTCAGTAAATAATTTTTTTTTGACAGTTTTGACGTGCGCGGGCGCAGTTTCAACAAAGCGCTCCATTGGTCGGACCCATTCGCTTTCGGCCGACGGGCATACTTTGTGACAATGTCACGTCCATCATCGCTGACAGTGGACGCCATTCAGTTGGACGACGAAGGTGTCTATCGGTGCAGAGTGGATTTCAAAAACTCCCCGACGAGAAACTTTCAGATCAAACTCAACGTTGTGGGTGAGTTTATAATTAGAATAAAAACCGAATTTTACCAAATTTTTTGTCAAGTTCATAACTCTTATATGTTTAGGCATCGTCCACTAAATACAAGTACACAACCGATAACGAACCTCTCAACTATCACTATTTACGCGTGTTTTCTTCTAACGTTTATGAACCAGCAAAAAATCTTTAGCAGAAAACCTCTTGGTTTTGAGATGATATTGTGTACATTTCTATTACATGTAACTGACGTCAAAATTAAAAAGGAGGATTCTTCGTTCGACGAGAATGTTATTTCCAATGTTTTTCACCGACTTCTCATCGAGTAGTATACCGATTTTCAAAATCTTGTATGTTTTAAGAAATTTATGGACACAACATGGTCCCATATAAATTTTATCAAAAATCTTATTATTATTACATTTTATCAATTTTACATTCACAATGTTATACTAAAAATATTCTTTATGAAAAATGCTTAAAAATCCACTTTGTCTCTAGTAATCTGAGTAGATTTTCCAGTGTAGCACTGTGAATGCAAAATAAATCAAAATATTAGTTTTTTAATTACATTAGAATTACAAGGACTCTGTTAAATAACGAAAGTAAGTATAAAACGTATCTGATCGAAGTAAGCTTAAAGATCGTGCATTTTGCCTTTTTTTCTACGTAGCAAAACTTGACGTTGGTTGTGCACGTGTATATAAGGTGAAATATTATTATGTGCCACGACTTCGTGGGGTGGATCAGTTGATTACATTGAACAACTTTTACTATCAGAGCAACACTGAATTAACGAAAAAAGTATCAGCTGTTTCATACTGTTGGCGATTGTGGGTATTACAAGTTTGTATGAAACAGTTTATTTTTTTTCGCGAATTCAGTGTTTCTCCCATAGTAAAAGTTGTTCAGTATATTTGATTCATCCACCCCACGAAATCCTGGCATACATATTAATATTAGCGGACGTTACACAAATGTATTGCAGTTATTAACTTAGTAAAAAAAGTTGCTATTGTCGTAGATATTAATAGTAGCAAAACAATATATCACATTCGAGAATAGCTTTTAATTAGAGCCTTCAATACGTTTTAATATATTAAATAAATTAGACAGTAACTTGATTTGCTGTGTGTGTACAAATTCTAAAAATGAATTTCTCAAAATTCAGTGTCGTGCCAATTAAATAATACAACCTTTTATACAAATATGATATATAATACATATAAATACAGATATTATATATATTTAACGCGCAATTATATTAACGCTCTGAAGATTTGAATTTTACGTGTATAAATAATCAATTATATCAATTACCTCTACTATTAATTAGGCTAAGAAGCGAGCTTGTAGAAAAGAAATGAAGGAGAAATATAGTTTTATTAGAATTCTCTTTATTACATCAATATCTAAAAGGTTTTGCTGCAGTACCTAAGTTATATAGATATACACGAAATCGATCTTTTTAGATTTAATAAGTGTGTACCATGTATCATCCAAAGTACCAAATTATAAAGAGCACGGTTCAGTGATTCTATATTTAAATTTTGAATACTTTAGAAGTGGAGCGAATTTATAAAGTTCGATTGAGAGCTTGATGATCTAGGGATAGCCTTATATGACAAAATCGTCCAGTCGATGATTGATAAGATTAATTTAACTTTTATAAAGACTGAGCCAATGATGGGTTACCATGAATTATGATTTGTCCTAAAATGCATTAAAAAATGACGAATATGTACTTAATTTGGTAATAATGAGTGTGATTATGGTGATTTGTTAAGAATTGAAATTTAATGTAAATTTTATTAAATATATGCTATAAATATATATTTTTATGAGATGTTACCTTCTACTTGTCTTTTTATTGTACCATCAATCTACTTATAATTTGAAACCACTCGTATTATTGTAAAATTTAATTATAATAGATTTTATAAAAAAAATATATTATCGTCTAAAACTAATACAGTAATAGAACTAGTTGCTTTATTCATCAAAATAAAATAATGTCATTTGTCCGGAAACGGATGTTGCATTAAATCTTAATAAAACGAATTTTATTTGAATATTCGTGCTGGAAGCTAGTTTTAAGAGGCACAATTATTAGGGGCGTCATCATCAGCCCATATTCGTCCACTGCTGGACATAGGCCTCCCCAATTGCACGCCATCTACTTCGATTTTCGGCTGTTCGCATCCAGCTCCTGCCAGCCATCTTGCGCAAATCATCGCTCCACCGCGCCTGAGGACGTCCTACACTATGTTTGCCGAGACGCGGTCTCCACTCAAGAACTCGTTTACCCCAACGGTTATCGGTTCTGCGGCTAATATGGCCAGCCCACTGCCACTTCAGCTTGCTAATCCGGTGGGCTATGTCGATAACCTTGGTTCTCTGCCGGATCACCTCATTTTTGATTCGATCCCGCAGAGAAACGCCGAGCATAGCCCTTTCCATAGCGCGCTGAGCGACCTTCAACTTGTGGACCAGCCGTGCCGTCAGTGTCCACGTTTCGGCTCCGTATGTCATAACGGGTAGGACGCACTGATTAAAGACTTTTGTCTTTAGGCACTGCGGGATCGACGATGTAAAGACCTGACGTAGTTTCCCAAACGCTGACCAACCTAGCCGAACTCTTCCATTTACCTCGCTCTCGAAGTTGTTTCTACCTAACTGCAATGTTTGCCCGAGGTATACATATTTTTGAACAATTCCGAGAACGGCACCGCATACTGCAATCGGTTCCGGTAGTACGTGTTCGTTGAACATGACCTTGGTTTTATCCAAGTTCATCCGTAGGCCGATGCGCATAGAAGAGTCAGCCAGGTCATTCAGCATCTGTTGTAGGTCCTGCAGATTTTCTGCCATGATGACGATGTCGTCAGCAAATCTCAAGTGAGAGATGTACTCGCCATTGATGTTGATGCCACGTCCTTTCCAGTTCAGCGTCTTAAACATATCCTCCATTGCATTAGTAAACAATTTCGGAGACATAACGTCTCCTTGTCTCACTCCTCGATGCAACGGTATAGGACTTGTTTGCTGATTCTGTACTTGGACGGTCATGGTGGCGGTCTCATAAATACATCTTATCACTTGGATGTATCGCCAATCGACTTGGCATCGCTGCAGGGACTCCAGAACGGACCAGATCTCAATCGAGTCAAAGACCTTCTCATAGTCCACAAATGCTAGACACAGGGGCTGATTATACTCTTCAGTCTTCTGTATAATCTGCCGCACTGTGTGGATGTGGTCTATGGTGCCGTATCCACTCCGAAATCCAGCCTGCTCCGGTGGTTGGAATTCGTCAAGTCTTTGCGCAAGACGGTTCGTGACTACTCTAGAAAACAGCTTATAGACGTGGCTTAGAAGGGAAATGGGTCGATAGTTCTTCAGCAGGGTTTTGTCTCCCTTTTTGAAGAACAGGACGACTACACTCCTACTCCACGCCTGCGGAGTTCTCCCTTCGAAGAGGACAGCATTAAAAAGCTTTTGGAGCTCCTTCAGTACCGGTTTACCTCCTGCTTTTAATAATTCAGTTGTAATGCCATCCTCTCCAGGGGCTTTTCCATTTTTAAGCTGTCTCAGAGCGATCTCGATTTCGCCAATGCTGACTTCTGGCAGATCTTCGGTTTAGTGGCGTGTATTAGGGGCGTAAAGACGTGAAATCAGAGGTATGTTCAATCCTTCAAATGTGCTTGAATCAAGTAGTTCTTTATCATATGAAACATCAACATTGAGCAGGTAGGGCAGATAACTCGGTTTTGGACATTTTTAGACGTACGAGGAACTGGATAACTCAACGGTATTAGATTTGCCATAATGCAACGTTTTAAAAACCGTAAGATAATAACATTTGACTATGCATTATTTTTAACACCTTGAATCGCCAAGTGGCCAAAAATGGGGCAGTGACCTTCTGCCCCAGATGCAGACTCCTGCATAACATAAGCTGAGGCACTACCGTTTGTCTCTGTGACATGTTTATTTATAAATTATCTTTCTTTATTGTGATCTGAAAGACTAAAATTTTAATTCCATCGGACCCTGCCCTGGTTTCTTTTATTTCTTTATGAGGGTGGCCTAATATCCAACAAAAGCATACCCCAGGCACCATAATCACCATCATCGGCCTATTTGAGAATTGAATTGTTTAAAAGAAAATATGATAGTGTGGTATGAAATTCAAATATAATATTTTACTTCAGTTCCGCCTCACCAACTACTGCTGTACGATGAGGCAGGAAGAGACGTTGCTGGCGTCGTCGGACCACTGGAGGAAGGAGGAAATTTCACACTCCTCTGCGAGCTGCGAGGTGGTAAGTGAAGGCATAAATGTATAAAAAAAATGATATCCTAGGAGCTTGGTGGCGTATTAGTTGGCGCTTTCAAGTCAGTAAAAAGTTTTCAGTCAAGCCATCAAAAAGGTTAAGTAACAATCACAAAGGCCGGGTTTTGTGTGATTCATTATATGCATGCTATGGAAGGCCATTTTCAAAAGTATAAAATGTTCTTATAACTATTACTGTAGCTACATCTTTGAGTTAGTTGATAGTGAATCTGATTATAAAAGAATAAAGACGTGTTCATTTATTCTAAAAATCATCAAATTATTTTTTATTAATGAATGATAAAGTAATGCAAGAGGAATGAATACATTTTTATCCTGTGTCATTGTAATCTTTTTTAAAATTATATTTAAATTCCAAAACAATGTATTATTGTTTAATGGAATAAATGACATATGACATATATTGGCGCCATCAGACATATGTATGTACGAAAACTCTTTCTTAATGAATTAGAAAATATCATACCTGTTTCATTGGAGATTACGCGAGTGGAAAAAATGTGCATAACGTAAAGAAATAACTATAAAATAAATATTATTCACACTGAAAAACCTAGAGTCCATGTATAGCACTGGTTCCATAGCGGGTAAGAGGCCCCCTAGCTTCTCTTCTTTCACAAAGCACGTGTATAATAATTCACTCTTTCGTGTATATTAACTAGTAAACACAAACAAATATATGTAACATCTACAGCACCGAAATTCATAAAATTATCATATAATAATAATAAGTAAGGGGCGACCGACCGATGATCGACCATAGGATTTTTTTAATACTTAACTACCATACCCGAAATTAATAAAGATTGTATTCAATCTACCTACCGCTAAATTTTTTTCCGAAGAATACCATTTAAGTATTATAATACCAAATATTCATCATCACCAGCCTTTTTACGTCCCTACTGCAGGGGCTCAGGCCTTCCTTATGGATGGTTAAGGAGGATGGGCCATGACCCTCCACGCTGGCCCAATGCGGATTGGAGGGTATTAACGACCGCAAATGCAGCCGGGACCAACGGCTTAACGTGCATTCCTTAAAGCACGGAGTAGCTCGAGATAATAATTTTTTGGTCACCCATCCCGTGACCGATCCTTGCGAAAGTTGCTTAACGACTACGATCGCGGGCCGCGGCGCTTATCCACTACGCCACCGAGCAATAGATTTTTATAATGATGACATAATATTCCAAATATTACGTTATCATTATAAAAATCTATTGCTTTTTGAAAAAACAATCAGACAAAATTAAGAATTCATTGTACTCGTAGAATTTTTGTTCATCAGAAATGGCGTGTTACATATTCACGACTTTCGTTTGTTAGGCTGTTGAATGTAACATGAATTCTGATCTACTCGTATATCTTACAAATCGACTAAGTGCAAGACAGATACGAATTTTTCGATTCTGTACCATTATCTATAAAACCCAAAAGAACCACGTCTGGTGTATGGGGGTCCCCTGAAATATTTATTTTGTTCTGTTTTTAATACTTGTTTTTAGTAGTTGTTGTTATAGCGGCATCAGAATTACACAATCTGTAAAAATTTCAACTACCTAACTATCACAGCACATGAGATACAGCCTGATGACAGACGGACAAATGAACGCAGTAATAGTGTCCCGTTTTTACCCTTTGGTTACGGACCCCTAAAAACAACTTCAGACCCAGCGAATGATATATTAATGTCGTTTGATAAGGTAGGATACAGTTTACATTGTGTATTTTTATTTAATTCAACCACTGCTATTGCATCGCGCTATACGGAAATTAAGCCTCTATTGTCAAATATGCGACAGTATACTACTGATTCATTTTACTACTTTGACATACACTTAAATAACAAAGAATAAATGATAATTATAGCTTTGAGGACGCTAACAACGAGTTCAATTATCCATCTAAATATATGTCAGTTGTCAAATTAAACAAATATCATCTTATCATCGATAAAGTATTAAAATATTCCGCATCTCTGAGCAGTAGTTTATTTCAGGTTCAGGTTCAGGTTCAGGTTCAAGCATAAGTGATCCTATAAAAATTCATTTTTTTACTTATGAGGTACAATTCCAAAAAAAAATCAGTAAGTATGCGACGTTCCAAATATTAATACTCCAATTTTCAATAAACTTTTTATCGTTGGATTATAATATCCACGCCAGCCATTTTAATCGAATAACGCATTTGCGACACGCAAACAGAATTTTAAAATGATCTCGGTCCGTTTTTTCAGCTCCCATTTTGATTTATTGGGGCGAATGAGAAATGGAGTTTTCATTTTTTATGAAAAGTGTAAACTGTAATTATAAGTTAACTTTTATAAATATACTAGATGTTTTCCCGTGACTTACCGGGAGTAAATTACAGCGATGTCTCAAAAATAAGTTTATTTATATTACATAATTGACAAATGATTTTATTTATTAAGTGACTAGCTGTATGTAACCCACGGCTTCGCTTACGTGATCCGATAGTACTGTGTGCACTCTGGCCTGCTATACTGGAGTCTTAAGCTAATCTTAATTAAAAATCTACCTGTAAGCACCCACCTTTATAACAGCATCATTAGCTTATCAACGTTATCACTGCAGATGCATAAGCCGCTAGATATATGGAACCAAATAAAAAATCTACCGGTGGTTCTGTGGAAAACGCGCATGTCTACATAAAATAGTCCGGTTGTTCTTCTTTCCATCTTAATGTGCAATAAAATCAACACGCAAAAATACAAACAAATGTTTTTTTGAAATAGTAGTGCTTTTAGTGGAATCGTTATATAATTACGCCATCATTTTGTTTTGATTTAGATATTTGACAACGTACTTATTCTGGTCTATCAGATAAGGCTTTCATTCGTTTAAGGGTTTAACGAGAAACAGCCTGGTGCTTTGCTTGTGCAAGATTCTAACACCCTTCAGTTAAGTATTAAAGTATCTCGTTTATAGTCACACATTATATATTATTTTGTCATACGATTAATATTCTTCATTAAAATATATTATTTAAAAAAACCGGGCAAGCGCAAGTCGGACTCGTCGGCAAGAAAATACAAAATATCACGTTTGTTGTTTTCAAACGAGTTGTTCGAAATTTTCGATTCGATTAAATACATTTGGTCGACTATTACTCGTAAATTTTTAAAGCCAACTTAAACGTTAATTTTTATATTCGTTAAATATAAATACTTTGCCATAACGTTTGAGTTTCTAACAACATCAGTTTAGTTCATTGGGACATTTCACTCTAACGAAAATTGGCTTAACTTCAAAGCTTAATGAGTCATGAATAGTATGTTAAATTGAAAAACGGTCTTCTCACACAACTAATATTTTTGAAAGACCTATCTTACGATATGGGAAGATAAAATTTTTACAGACATATGCTGCCTTTTTTTAGAGCTTTAAAAGGGGGCTGATTTCGTAAAACATGATTTTTGCAAAGCAAAGCACAGAAAAAGTAAAGTATTCTCCTGTTTTTGCTACATTTTTCATTGATGCTCCACTCCTATTAGTCGTGCGTGATGTTATATAGCCTATAGCCATCTTCGTTAAATGGACTATTCAACACAAAAAGAAATCCACCAGGTACCCAGAGATATATGTATGTATTAAAAACGTTATAATGTTTTTAATACACATTACAATAAGGTACTTTTGTTATTTTCACCAAAGTGCTCAGCAGTTTGTTGGCGAAAATTAGTACTCATTTTTGTGTACACGTATATATCTACCTACTACTACAAACATTTGCAAAGACAGAAAATAACAATTATGGATTTAAAATAACATTACATTTACTATACTATTAACTAATTCTTCTGTACGACATCTTTTAATTATAGGTTTACACAACTTTTTATCTTTTATTAACAAGCTTATTTTATTACATAATTCCGAAACTACATATTTTGAACATCTTTTACCATGGTGATTACTTATAAACTTATTTTCCCTAACCCATTTTGTATTATATCTATTTTAACTTTAACTTTAAATTTGTCATTATAATCATTTTCTATTGATATTATATTTAACTTTATCTTCTACTGTTCATATTTACCGAATGGGAACAACATATCGTAATTTTTGTTATATTTCATTTTAAATTATTAAATATTTAAGTAATCTTAGTTGTAAACTTCTAATATCATTCAAATAAGAAGCGAATATACGGCCATATACCTACATTTAAACCGTAACTTATAACAGTTCGCTAAATCATTATATATCAATTGCATAACTTTTTTATTTATGACGTAATTTAATTCATAAAATTTACTCGATATGGATCTCAATCTAACACAAACTTGATCCCCCTGCGATTTCCAATTAGAATATCTACTGTGATTCCTAAATATTTGAAGGTTTCAACTAACTCTATTTTAACACATTTACATCGCGACTTATTTTTATGTAAGCATTCATAGTCATAACCTAATATCGTCAAATCTAAACACATTATATATAAATAATAATCTTTGTTTCACTTTTGAAATTACAGACAATGGTGACTATTTTAAGAGATTACAAGGAAGTTACATAATACAGTAATATGAGCCACATTTCCCAAGCTAGGTTCAACCTGAATTTTGGGAGTTACGATTCCTCTAAAACATCTTTATTTATATATCCTTGAAACCATTTTTTTTTCATGGTGATAACAAGCTTGTTCATTTATGTGGAATCATGAGTGTGTAAGTGTATGTGTGTGTTTGTATGTATGTTTTTGTGAGAGTGTGTGTGTGTTCGTGTGTGAAGGCGAATTATTAACGCCATATAGAATTATATGGCGAATGTATATTATACATTCGCCATATAATGTGGTAACGGACGTACATGTATCCGAATGTATGCAAACATTTTGTTTTTGCGAAGTTTATAATGATATTAGTAGGCCCATTATAATGGGCCCACCTTGTTATATTTTAAAAGTCACTCTGTATACAGGTTAGAATTTCTGTGATATTTTTTTAA